CCTGGCAGTCTGCTTCCAAAAAATCATCTATTTTTTTTGGGCATATTTCTACTCTGACACACATGAGGTCACCATGAGAGGCCTTTTAGGTGTATTTTGTAATATTTTTAAATATTGTGTTTTTGGTGAAAGCTTACACAGCAAATTAGGTTCCCAGTTAACAAGTTCTATACATGTTTGTTCAGTGACATTGGTTACATTTTCCACAACATTCTCATTATTTCCGTTCTGGTTGTTCCATTTCCATTAATCTGGCTTCCTTCTCCTGACCCCCCCACCCCCTTCTTTGCTAGGATTAATGTTGACCATTTGGTCTCATATAGTTTTTTTTTTATTGTTTGTTTTTTAAAGGCACACATTACTCTCAAGTGATATTGTTTATTTTATGAGCCAGTCTGTTATTTAGCTGAAAGCTGACCTCCGGGAGTGGTTTCAGTTCACAGTTTAAAGGGTATCTCAGGGCGATAGTCTCAGGGTCTCCTGTAGTCTTTACTGGACCGTAAGTCTGGCCTTTTTTTAAGAATTTGAGTTTTGTTCTACAATTTTATCGCATTCTCTCGGGGACCATCTGTTGTGTCCCTGGTCAAAACGGTTGGTAGTGGTAGCCAGGCACCATCTAGTTCTTCTGGTCTCAGGATAGATGAGGCCGTGGTTCGTGTAAGCAGTTAGTCGCGTAGACTGCTTTCTTCTTTGAGTCTTTGGTTTCTTCCTTCTCTTTTGCTCCAGATGAGTAGAGAACCAGTAGTTGTATCTTAGACGGCTGTTCGCAAGTTTTTTAAGACCCCAGACGCTACAAACTAGGATGTAGAACATAAACTTTATGGACTGTGTTGTGCCATTTGACCAAGTTGTCCCATGAGACGGTGGTCCTAAGCCTTCAATCCCATTAATCCTGTCAGGTGTTTGGTTATATCTGGGAAGGATCCGTGACCTGTGTCTGTACGTGCTTTATTATATATGTGAGCATACAGGCAGTCCCGACTTACGGACAACTAGTACTTGTTAGTGCTTAAGAACAGACTGCCATAAAGCCCATTATATTAAATATTTGAGTTAAATACAATGGTTTGTAATAACGAATGCGCACACTACCTTGTGACACTCACGAAAACATTGCTTAGTTTGGAAGTGTTTCTTAAGCGTATTATATGCACAGAAAGGTAAAATATATACTGTATGCTAAGGCGAACATTTGACTGACTGACTCTAAATCAGAACCGTGTGTACCTGTTCAGACTTACTTGCAAATACAACTTAAAAACAGACTTAGGAACGGATTTCGTTCTTCTCCCGGGGGCTGCCTGTAGATGGAACACACGCAAACATGTATGTGCATATGCTTACGAATATACCTATAC